TTCTTCCTGACAGAATCTAATGTCAAAACTCTTGGAGATCATCCAAGCAAATGATGTAAGCATCATTACTACCCACCCTTTTTTGAAGTGAGTTTTCAGTTTTCTTCAGTCTTGCTCCAGCCCCACTCCCCCACCTCCTTTCCTGCAAGCCTGTGTCACAGTATCTTCACCAGCAAGCAGGCAGGTGACTTTGTTGCCACTCGGGAGAACTTAGCAACTTTTCACGAAGCTCCTTCCTTCTGACTCTTGTCCAGTTGGGACCCAAATGCCCTTTGTGAGTGTGAATTAATGTTTCCTGTATAAATTTTATCAACCAAATGTGTCATATCCTGGAAATGTATTAATCTATAGTTATACCTATGACATATTCTGTGTTATAATACAACAATTAAATATATTATGGGTTACAGTGCACATTTTCGTACATGTATACAGAGTATGAGGTCAAGGTAATTTGTATGTCTATTACCTGGGTCATGGCCATTTATTTGTGTTAGGAATATTCAAGATGCTATCAGCTTGTTTGCCTGTTTGTTTGAGACAAACTCTCTCTATATAGCCCTGGCTGTTTTAGAATCACTAAGTAGACCAAGATGACCTCAAACTCATAGAGATCTGTCTTCCTCTGCCTCCTGAGTGCTAGAATCAAAGGTGTATGTCACCAAGCCAGGTCAGTCTCTATTTGAAATGTTTTCAATCGTTGCAATTTCATTGTCCTATAGAGCATAAGAAGTCACTGGAGGTTTTTTAATGTCTTAGCTTTAGGGCTACATACTAGAACTGCTATTGCCAAGTAAAAAATCTTTATTCCAAAGTTGGGGATTTGGACATTCTGTTATCTTAAGCAAGGTTTGTTATGTATACTAATCAAACTAGCTGCAAATTCCATTTGTGGCATTGTGAGGGAAGGGGCTCTTCTGGCTGTCATTCTTGTTGCAAAATATGCTGCTATATTATTTATGATTTATTAAAGTTTGCCGGAGGATTTAGAAAGCAAAGCCAGCTACACGCTACAGAGGTCAGACAGTGGTGATACACATCTTTAATACTAGCAGCCACACACTAGGTAGCTAGGCAGTGGTGATACACACCTTTAATCCCAGGACTCAGGAGACAGGCAGATGGATCTCTCTGAGGTCAAGGCCACCTTGGCCTACACATGAGTGAAGAGTAACAGAGCTCGAGCCTTTAATCCTAGCACTGGGGAGGCGGAGACAGGAGGATATGGCTGGGCAGAGAAAGGAACATGAGGAGGAGGAGACGGGACTGAGAGCTTTTGCCTCTACCTTGGTAGAGGTAAAATGAACTGGTTTGGCTGCTTTGCTTATCAGTCTCTGGGTCTTTCTGGTTTTTTTTTTTTTGTGTGTGTGTGTTACATAAAAGGGTATATATAACTGGAAAACAATTTAGGAGTTATGGGAAATGTTCACTTGTAGTGATAAGAATGACGTCCAGGAAGACACTCCTGTGTTCCTCGTGATTAGTAGAGGAAGACTAGGATGAAGGTTGCTAATTCCTGGCAACATATACTTCCCCAAACAGGGCCTTTACTAGAAAAGATTGTGGCTAGCTTTATACAAACATGCCAGGATTCTACTATTTAAAGTAAGACAGTGGCCTAATCCAAGCTCAAGCTATTTCCTACAGAAACTAATTTGTGCAAATTTTGAGCTGCAGTATTCAAGCATTTGTATATGTTACAACAATATGACTCTTAAAGAATATGGGCGACACACAAGGCTCTGACATTTTTAGCTGAGTAGACACTACGAGTAAAAAGATGATGTTGGGAGGGTTACCAAAGTCCTTTTTAAAATACAGGCAAAAACAGGAAGTGAAGCTACAAAGAACTCTATCTCAGTGACTGAATCAGACCCGTCTTTAAAAAGGCGTGAGTGTGCGTGCGTGCGTGCGTGCGTGCGTGCGTGCGTGTGTGTGTGTGTGTGTGTGTGAGCTTCCTTTAAATGTCTGATGTCATAGTTCAGGGTTGAATTTGTTCTTATTATAGTTGTATTTTCCATATGTAAACTGCTTACTATATGTTACCAAGGAGAGAAGGAGGTGATGATGAGGTGAATTGGATCCTCAAAAAGATGTGCTGTCCATCTCCAAGTGCCAAGCTTACGTTGTGTGTGCCACTGTGTCTGTTTTTTATGTGATGTTTGGGAATTGCAGGGTTTCATGTATACTAGTCAATTGTTCTAACCACTGAGCTACATCCCAATTTCAGGGTTTTTTGTTGATTTGTTCACTTTTTTTTTTTTTTTTTTTTTTTTTTTTTGCTTCTTCTTCCTTTTATTTTTTTGCATTACATTAGGTCAGCAACATGTGCGTGCACATGTATGCTTTTGATGTCTACAATGAGAAACTGTTTGGATTGCTTGCTTTATGATTGCTGTGACCAACATACCATATATAAACAAGCTGAAGGACTTTGGTTCATGGTTTTAGAGTGTTGAGCAAATGGTAGCAAGGGAAAAACATTAGGGCAGCAGCAAAGAGTCCCTTTCTCATCCAGGACAGGACAGAGAGGAAATCACGCGGAGGTCCCAGGGACAAGATGTGCCCCCAATCACAGCTGGTTTCTTACTTCCCCAAAGCCGTACTTCTCCACACAGCAGCCAGGGGAACATTCAGATCTATGCCATAACACTTTGCATATTCACTTATTTACTGCATGTCCCTGTTTCTCTTCCCCTTTGGCAAGAGCATTGCACATAACATTCTTTAACAATCAAAATAAACTTGCATTTTAAAAATTGTACGTGTGGGACAGTGGAGGTGCTGGAGAGACAGCTCCGCGGTTAAGAGCACTTGCTGCTCTAACAGATAAGCTGAGTTCGGTTCCCAGTACCCCACGTGGACGTTTAGAACCACCTGAACTCCATCATCAGGGCACCTGGTGTGCTCTTTTGATCTCCACGGACACTGCAATCATATATGCGCACATAATTAAAACACACACTTATGTAGAATGTATGCATGTATGTATATATATGAGGTCATGCTGTGTGTGTGGGCATGTCTCAGGAGGCCAAAGGTCCACACACACAACTTCTACCTTATCGTTGGACACAGGGTCTCTCACTAAATCTGGAGCTTGCTGATTTGTCTAGACTTGCCACCTGGGAAAGGCTCTGGGACCCACACTTTGCCTCTCAGCACTGGGATTGTAAGTGTACAGCAGTGTTCAACATTTTTACTTAAAGACAGGGTTGGCTGCATGGAACATGTTGAATTTGAATTTACAGAGACTTGCCTGCCTCTGCTGAGCAGTAGGCCTGAAGGAAGGCTGGAACAGCTTCCTGTCCACACACACAGTCACCCCCTGCCTCAGCTTTCTGCCCTCACATCTTGTTTTTTTTTTTTTTTTTTTTTAATGTGGGCACTGGTCTGAAAGGTCTTCCATGTCAGAACACTGTCCTCTGACCCATCTTCCTACTCCACATTTTGTTGTTACCAATACAATGTCTTATGAGTCGAAACATGTCTACTCTTTGTAGTATGAAATCAAAGAATGAAAAGACAAGTATCTCACCACTCAAGCTTTCCTGGAAATGCATACTGTTTACACTGAACTTCACAAATGTAATTGCCCATTATCTCAGAGGTTACAAAACTCTACCTCAAGAATATCACCTTGTATCTTATGTTACTATTGTATTGATGTATAAAGACACCATGACCAAGGCAACTCTTGTAACAAAAGAAAACATTTAGTTGGGGGTTTTCTTATAGTTTCTGAATTAGTCCATGGTGTTATAGATAATTCCTGGAATTACTAGTGAATACATTGGTTTACTGAAGCTAGTCTGAGATTTTTGCCCATAAATCAAAAATCCTGATTGTTAGTATTCAGGCATCTGTACTGGCCTGCCTTTGGGGTTCTGACAGGATAGGCCCTCAGCTGCAGCCACTAAGTGCATCACCTGTGCATATTCACTATGTTCCCCTTGACTCTTTTGTTGTTGTTTTCGAAACTGGGTTTCTCTGTATTGCTTTGGAGCATGTCCTGGAACTAGCTCTGTAGACTAGCCTGGCCTCGAACTCACAGAGATCTGCCTGCACCAATGCCCCGTCTGTTCCCCTCTCCCTCTTTCCTCTCTTCTCTCTCCTGCTGCTCCTGCCTCTGGCAGCTAGTCTCCTCTCTTCCCTTCCACCTTTATATGATCCCTTTTCCTAATTAAAAAACACTCTGCTTGAACCCTGTTGGAATTCTGTCCTGTGCTGCTTTTCTTAAATCACAACACTGATAAATATAGCAAGATTAGCATTCAATAAGTTCTGTTAAGAGACCTCATGATGCTATAGTTTCAACACACAGGAGTGCTGCAAATTGGTAGCATTACTTCCTTAAAAAATGGGCAAATCCATGCATGTAAGAGTGAGACTCTTGAGTAATGTAACCTTTCTTGTTTCCAGAAGAGAAAACTAATTTGAGCATCTTGTTCCATGCCTGGTCCCCTCACAGAACTGAGCAACCCATTTCCTCCTTTCACTTATTCCCTTCATTAATCATATTATATATAGCCCTGTCTTCCACTGTGGCAAAAAAGACACTGATAAAGAATCTTTAGGTATATCTGTAAACAACAGAGAAAAATTAAACTTAACTCCAAACACATTTCGAAGGTTGACAATCAATGTAATGGTCATACCTATTTTTAAGACTATTTACTGCTGTTTTTAAAATGTGGAAAAAATGTTCAGTGCTTTTCAACCTAATGTCTAATGAACTCTTTTAACATTAGGAATAGGGATGTTATGGCAGGGACAGGGGAGGGCTACATCTAAATGCAAAAGTACCTGATTACATTTGGTTCATTATTTAAGATTTAAGTTAACATCTTTTAAATCCTCAGTAATTCCATTAGCACAAGTTTAGAAACAAAGCACTCAGAATGATCTAAGAGTTTAACTGTAATGCTAATAGTGCTTGACTGATGCATTACTAATATAACCAAAATAAATTCCAAATAAATTGCCAAACCATTATACAAAAAAAAAGGAAAAAAAAAAAAACACTTTTATTTTCCACAAGGAAGAGCAATAGGAAAAATTAAATCATTTTCCACATAGTTTTCTTAAAACAGAGCCTACAAGGACATATTCAGCACCAAATAAAAAAAAGAGATTACGAACAGCCATAGAGTATAATCTATAAAGCAAACATTTAATATTGCACTTTGTTTCTCGAACATTTTGGATTTTACTTTTCCTAAATGAAAAATTAGGAAGCTGTCTTGAATACTAGAGCACAATTGTGACCCTCACGTTATATCAGGAATTGACCAATATTTAGAAAAATGTAATGCCTCTAAATTAGTAAAGAAATATTTAATGATAAAAATAAACTTTATTTCACCAAGTCTTACAAGAATTTTGTCACCCAGTGCCAATTTTAATATTGGTCATTCTTGCTTATGTAGTATTTTGTAAAAGAATACGGTAGTGAGTGTCCCGATGCCATGCACATCAACAATTGTTCCCTAGTTAGACGTAACAGGAAGAGTAAGAGGTGTTTGCAGACGATTCCTCCCAAACGAAAACAAAACCACCAAATGCCCATTATGCCAAATACTCCATCAGCTTCTTCTGAGGGGGACATTCACAAAATGATTTAACAATAAAAAAATAATTCACCCCCCTTTCCTTATTATCTAGTATCAGTTTGCTATGGGAGCACAAACCCTTTACCCGAATCACTTAGAACGCGATTCATTTCTCCGATGGGCTTTCTTCACCCTGTTAGCATTATTCCAAACATGAATTGTCCTCCATGTTTTCTTAAAGGCCACTTATGGAAAAGCCTATTTTGTGTGAAGCTTTAAGACAGCATTTAACCAGGTCAAGCACCAAGCCAGAGTTACCACTATTTTCAGTCACTTTATTAACTGTGGGTTAAGATGGCAAGGTAGACAGATTTAATACCCATTTCACACATACGTTGCAATATCAGAGATGCTGGTGTCACTAAAAATAGAAGTAAACTTCTAAAAAGAAAAATCACTGTGTATTTGGGAAGGTGGGGTTTTACTTTTCCATGAATGCTGGTATTTTTGTTATAATCCAACCACAGATTACCTTCAAAAATAATTATTGATGTGTTCATTCTATACATACTCAAAGAGAGAGACCTCTTCAGATAGAAAATAATAACACATATATAGATAAATTAAAGCTATTGATCCCAGCACACAGTTCAGTATTTATAATTACGAAGTTATGAGAACAAATTTGGGACTTTATTCTCTTAAGCTTGAGCAAATGTATAAATCAAGCTTCTCCAGCCCTGACACACTCTGGCTTATTAAAGTACTTCACATCAGCAACAGTGATTTCCAAGCATATGTGTTTTGGAGGTAATTAAGTAACTGTATAAAAATAAATGCACTTTCCCCCCCTCTTCCCTAGTGACTGGACAACTTCCATTTATTTTTAAAATCATAAAAATAATTTTCATGAGCAACAGCCCTTAACTCTTTGCTGGTGCCTGGCCTACTGTCTTTCTTCAGTGCACTCTTAGCTCTGGTTTCCTCTTACATGTAATGATAAAAAGGGATGTGGGTGGGTTATCAATTTTGTGTATGTCCCGTTTCTGAATCTCCCTCTCCAAAAAGCCAAACATCATCATCATCATCATCAACAACAACAACAAAATAACAGTGCAACAAAACACAAATAGCATTCCGACAGTTTGGCAAGTGATGCATTCACCTGAGATTAAGTGATTTTAGGCAGTCAGTAACAAAATGCTGCTTTGCTGTCAATAGTAGAAAGGCAACACAGTCTCAAAGAAACCAGGGTCCCCAATCCTAGAGTCTCTCATTAGCTTCCTCCTGTCTCTTCCCCACAGACGTGTTGCGCATCTACTACAGTAGGCTGCAAAACGTACAGCAAAACGATTGGCTTGAAGGCATTTGATGTTTGTAAATAAATCCACAATAGGATCCAAGCTGAAGAGGTGATAAATGGTCAGCCTAGTAGGACAACTCTGAGCACGAGCATATGCAGGTGGAGTCCAGGCTACGTTAACTTAAACAAAAAACAAAAAACACCACAAACTGTCAGTGCATTGTTTTTTTTTCTTTTTTTTTCTTTTTCACGTAGAAGTTTTTCAAAGCTTTCCTTTTGTTCCTTGTTGCGCTGACCACAAACAAGTTTTGAGAGTATCAAGAGTCTGGCATAAATGGAAAAAAGCTGTAGTGACACAGAGCTGCACAATGTAAGCATTGAGCATGTGCAAATTTTCAAATCGGAGGACCATGTCCTCCACTGCAATGGTGTCTTGACACGTATGACACAGGCTAAGACGACTGACTGCTCTTAGCATGTGCAGTGTTAAAGGAGAAAGCTTAGATCTTCAAGCATGTTGGAGCAGCCCCAGAATGCTGCTGTAAGATTCTAAAGCATGATCACTGGTTGTTTCATGTATTTGCCATTTTCTGGGCAAAAGCAATTCCACTTCCTCTGAAAAACGTGTCTCCATGATACTTCTCTGTCCTCAGCCGGAAGAGAAACAGTTCAGAACCCATATCAACTCGATTCAATCAAGTGTTCCTTCAACGAGAGGGGCAGGATGGTCTATCCTCAGATGACTGATCAGGGTTTGGATCAATCTAGCAGAAACAAGATGAATGTACAAAGTTAATTTGGTATATGACTGCTTTTGAGTCAGCAAAGGTAACAATATAATCAGAGCATACATGTAAACTGCTTAGCAGATTATACCCTAATATGCTCTCTATCTGAAGTGCTATGTGGGAATGAAAGGGTGTTAGGTTACCAGTATGATTTCTAGTTATGCATGTACTAGGAAAATCTTTTTTGTGGAAGGGTACTTTCACTCATCATTGGGGTACTTAAAACCAGTTATACATTGGGGCACACCATCAAACCACTCAACTCTTTTGCAAAGTATCTTTTTTTTTTTTTTTTGTCCTAAAATGTCACTGCATCTCTTCCCTAGGCTCTGTGAACAACATTCCTGAGGGTCTGGTGAAGGTAACTCAGAAGATCTTCTGGACAAATTCTACTCACTTTAAATGTGAGAAAACCCACATTTTATGCCAAATGCATTTTGAAGAAAAAACCAATTACCTTTTACTTAAATCATATTCCAGGGCTATTTTAGGGTTGTACAATGTTTAAGTTATCTTATATTCATTTTGAAATGTGCAGAATGTATAACAAATTAGATAAAAGTGAATGATAGGTATTATTTTTTTTCAAATGTCCCCTTGAAAGCTATGAACACTCAAAATAAGCCAGAATTCAGTAAAAAAAAAAAAAAAGTCAGAATAAAAATACAGTAATAAAATGTGTGGGAAATGATAGAACATTTTCAGTATTTAGTATGTATTTTTATGAACCATAGTAAAAGGGAAAATGTCTAACAAAAATTTGCAAGAAAAGATTCTGAATACTCTAATTAATGAAGATGATTTTACATAATCACATCTAGGGCAAGTATTTCTCCAGTAAGGAGTCACAACTGCTTTCAAAGTAAACAAGTTTCTTCATGTCTAATGAATATGAGAAAGTATAGAATCTTAGTATAAAATAGTGGGGTAAACTATATAACCTGGAGTGTCTTGATTTATAGTTATTTTGGTATCAAGGCCATTTGAAAGGTTCTGTAAAAATGTGTACTGTTGGCACCTATCATGTTGAAGTTCCCTGAAATGGTTGAACCCATCCCTTCTTGTCCCTCAGCTGGGCTGCTCTTCCTGCCTGGACCATCCTACCTTTGGAGGGGCTATCTATTTTTGAAAATTCAGCTTCTCAGAAGAGTCCTTCTGTTTTCTAAGACCCAATATATGGTTCATTAGAAGAGTGGTGTTTCCTAACATGGTTGACACTGGTTTTTGCTTCTAAGTTAATTTTTCTCACTAGTTTGTAAGCTTATCTAATGCAAGTACTCATCCTATTCACATGTGTGCTGGTGTCATCAATATGAAGCACAGAATAATCTAACAATGTATGAATGCTGTTTTTAAGAAGCTATTTGGTCTGTTTGTTTTCTGTTTTTTGTTTTTTTGAGATAAGAGTTTCTCTGTATAGCCCTGTCTGTTCTGGAACTTGCTCTGTAAACCAGGCTGGCCTCGATCTAACAGAGATCCCCCTGCCTCTGCCTCCCAAATGCTGAAGTCAAAGGCATGTGTCACCACCACTCAGCTTAAAAAGCTATTTGGAAATATGCTATTTTCTCCTATAAATAAGAATGTTAAAAATGCAAGAATTAGAATCATCAGGATAACCAAGAAACAACTAAATTTTAAAGCCTGTATCTTTTTTAAAAGCTTACACTGCTGTTTCCTAGGAGACCCAGTATGTTTTGTACTTGACTTGGTGCTTACCTCTGAATAAAGAGGTGGAGGCAAGAACCGAAACTCCTGGATATATGCAAACAGTGGTCCCTGAAGAGCTCTCTCAAAACCATCACAAGCATTCCCTGGAGCAAGATTATTTCGTCTTTCTTCCTCAGTCACTACTTCTGCATAGCTGGGTGGTGCTGAAGGAAAAAGATACACGCAATTCGAACAACATGTTCTTATGCATGTCAAAATACACAGAATAGTAGATATTAAAAAAATGTCATGTAAAAAGATAATTATTTGTTTGGCGATTAAAACAATCGAGACACACAAAACAATATTAAGGTCACATATGCTAACTGAGGAAAGATAAAAATTTAACTAGGGTTGTAAAATATTAAAAACAAAAGAAAAGGTCTTAATAATGGAGTAAGTTTAGATATGTACATCAAATTACCTTCAGGTCTTTCAGGAAGGGATAGACCAAGCCAGTTCATGTTCATGCTACACTGACTGCTTACACTTGAGGTTCTGCTACCAAATGGATGAAGAGGAATGGTACCGATGACAAGTGGCAAATTAAGAAACAAATCCATAGCTCCAGGAATATCCACATATACCTAAACAGTAAGCAGATGCCAGAGTCAGCATTTAAAAGAATTTTCTTTAAAAACACAACCTAATTTTGGTATTAGCTGGGATCCCTTTTAGTTTCTAGAAAACTTCTCTTGTATGTGCAAAACCCTAGGTTTATATGAGGTAATTTAATCACAATGTAATGTTTTGTACATACATCTACAGTCTACCAAGCATGTTTAAGACAAAATAAGGACCCCACAGATTTAAGACAAAAGTGTAATAAGAACTTCTTACAGGAACACCTACCATTAGTGAATACTCCACACGGATTATACTACAATCAAGGATGGAGGGGGAAACTGGTGGAATTTTTAGGAGCTTGCCATTCCATGTTTCTGTTTTCCCAGATGACAGGGACTCGCCACGTAAGTTTGCCACAAGCTGTTTTACTTCCTTCATTTTCCCTTTGGCATAGAAGGCCTGTGTTTGGTAAATGGCTGCCTTTGGCACTACCATTCGGGAAGAGCAGTTCTCAATCTCAGCAAATATCTGTATTGATTCACCTGGAGAGGAAAACAGTTATTCATGATTAGAAAACAAACAGCCAGTATCAAGTGTAGACTTCTGAAGCTCAACTAACTCCATGGAGGAAAAGCTATCCTAGAAGCAAGGTAACTAACTCACTGTCATAAAAATGACCTGCTCCCTCACACTGACTACACACAAAAAAAGGAGACTACAGATTGTGAACAGAAAATGGATACATACAACTTACATAGCTTCACTAAGGAATGCTGAGTGTTTATGTTCGGTAACAATACTAAGTTTATACAAGATGCTTGGTAAAGAGAATTGCTTTTTGTAGGCACCAACCACATCCATACCTGGGGTATAGCCCTTCCTCTCGATTTTGGCACTTAAGGATATTGGGCCTGAGGCGCAGAACCAGCAACAGAGTGTCTTGTCTTTTGTGCCTGCTTGGGGTGACTGTAAGAAATAGAGAGAGAGAGAGAAAAAAATCAATGTATGAACTAATAAAAACGCCAGAATTGTTGTAAAATTAACTAAAAGAATCAATTTTGTTCCCGTAACAAATGGTTTTTAAATTATATCAAACTTCTGTCTTTATATAACTTCTATTTAATAAAGGGGAAAAAAATAGGTTAAAGGCCTAATACCCTATTCCAAAGCAGACTTTTAGCCCATTATGTACAATAAGAAAAACTAATCAAGTAAATTAAAAAAAAAAAAAAAAAGAGAAAAAACCCTTTCCAAATTCAACATAAATTGTCTTGTGGTTGTAATTCTAAATGGCAACATCTTATTTTGAAAAAGGAAAATAAGGTTGTTTGGTAAAACGTAAAACACATTTTTATTCCACTTAAAGATGTTATCATTTGTTTAAACCAAATCATTATCATTTTGAAGTCAAATTTGAATTAGTATCAGAAATTGCAATTTAAAAGAAATTAATTTTTTTCCCCATGAAAATGATGAATCCCCATCATGTGACCCTAGCTCTAACTGGAATAATGCAATTTGGTACAAAGTTTAGACTGTGACTGTTTCAAGAGATTTAAGCCAGAGTCCTAAATGATTGCTATTGTTTGTCAACTAAAGTCATTTAGGGACCTGACCTTGTTATTGCTGTGTCCTGCAAAAAAAGACACTTCGTATCACATATGTGTGAAGTGTGACTTTGAAATTTACGTGGCACCGTGTGAAAAACGAGTGTATCATTCATTAGCTTGTGTGCTCTAGTTCTAGTGTATATTAAATTGGCATTTTTAATGGAATTTAATAGAATTGCTTTATTAAAGCTTTGTATACTGCATGGACTGGGCGGCATAGATTAGGTGGCTATTCTTTTTATGTGTTCAAATGTCCAAACACAATGAACCCAGGCATTTCTTACCAGTAATGAAGGAGTGTTGATATCTATGTGCTCAAAGACTGTGAATTCCTTCTTTAACTTTACTGGTAGAAGCCAAGGCCTATGCAATTCAGCTTTCACCCAATAGCGCACACTACCATGTCGGCCTTCGAATGAGGTAGCAAGTGGTCTGTGCAAAAATATAAAAATGAAGATATTAATCTTACACCTCTTTCAAAAACTCAATAGTCAGTAGGTCAAAATAAACACGTTACCACACTGTACTGTCTACAAGGTACCACGTGTATAAAGATATCACCATGTCCTACTGTCTGTGGACCAATGAGGTACCACGTGTATAATCTTTTAAAACTTTCCAAAGGGGATATGATAAGTCACTGGGGAAAGTCCTTTTATTTTCAAATAATGATAAGAGTTAACTGTAAGAGAAATTTTGGTTTTAATGTCAGAAGAATACAGCCCCTTTAAAACTAAAGGGTCTACTTTTAATGTTGGTGGCAAAATCATGAAAGTTAAATGAACTATTCTTGAAAAGGTAAGCATTTTAATTTTAAAATAAAGCCAAGAATTGCCTCACTATTTCTACCTAATCCTAGACCCCAATCGTACCTTCAGAAAAAAAAAAAATACCCCCCTATATTGCTCCACTTTTGTTAGCTAGGAGTTAGAACCTCTTTTTATAGCAACTAATTAGCACAAAAAAGCCTAAAATAGTCTCACAATTTCCTATTTCATAAATTCATAGAAACAGAGAAGGTGCTTTTTATACCCTGTCTAGCCACATTCTAACTCTCCTTTGGCTATTAACCTTTATTTTCCAAGGCTTGAAAAGAAAAATATTCCCATTAACCTATCTCAGAATAATCAGAACTGTTTCTGGACTTGGCCAGGTTTTTTGTTGTCTGTAGAAGGTTTAACAAGCAGTCTGTTCCATTAGAGAAATGTCCAGTGCTATTATTTATAAGGCCAGATCAGACTGGTAGAAGCACCAGTATTTTACAATGATTACAAAGTCTATGTAGAATTCCAAGTGGATTAGTAAACATAGAATTATATACATCCAAGGCATAATAAACTGTTATTATGAGCTAAGTTTATTATATAGATCAATCAGTGCCAGTTTATAAGCTTTAGTATCTGCTAAAAGGCATTATGCAAAAATGTTTACATTCTCTCCCAGCAATCTGTTAAAATGCTGAGAATGTACTATATTTCAAGTCTTCCACTAAGGTAGCTCTGGGATGCTTCCTTTTAAGTCCAAGGTATGTTATCTTCCCCAGTAGCTTCTACTGAATTTGTGTCTAAAGAACGGGAATCCCCGAGTAAGGGTAGTCTTATCATTACATTCTAACGTTAACCATTCACATTAGCAGAAAAGGTGGAATTCTGAATTTTGATCCAGCAAGCTCCTGACATGCGAGCGAAGTGCTCTTTTGATGATGGAAAGGCTAGTCAAGTCAGCAATTTCATCAAAGACTGATTAGCACCTTAGGATTCACCAGTGCTAGATTAAATATTAATGTTTTATAACCTTAAAACAGTACTGTGGGATACTAACTACTGACTGTGCTTTCTGTAATTTTGCCACATTAAAAATAGCACCTTCTATTACATTGTTTTCCTCGACCAAGTTTCTGTAATGAAAAGGGTTTTTTTCAAGAAAAAAAAAAAAAACAAAAAACAAAAAAAAAACTAAAGTATTTAAATATGAAGTATCTAATTTTATAAGATCATACTTAACTAAGAGTGTCCAAGAAAAATTCTATTCCTTATAATACTTACGTCTGTGGAAGCTCGAAGCTAAATGCATATTCATGCCTTCCTGAATGGATAGTGTTGAACCCTTCTTCAGAATTATCATCATCTAAAAGGAACAAAAAGAAAAGAAAAAAACTTGTTGTTAAATATCTACATTCGCAGGCAGTAATCTTCAAGGATGTTGTTCATGATCAAAGCCACACACTTTCATCTTATAGATCAGAGTTCTAATCCCAACTTCATTATTTGTTCTGCCTAAAATTAAAACCTTCGTTCTTCATCTTCCTCATCCCCAAAGTAGGGATTGAACACTTACACTTATAGGCGGTTTCATTTTAATGAAAACAAAAATTCAAATAGTGAAAAAAAAATGTATCAAATACAGTATTCAACAAAAGGTTCAGGTATCTTGGTCACCAATTGTTCATTTAAGTGTGCATAAAGTAAAAACTACCTTTTTGAAATTGCCAGTTTTCAGTGAATATTGACTTTCCTGGGGCAACTATTCACGCTGCACCCAGGAAGCAGAGGTGGAGGAAAGGCTGGGATTCAAGGCCAGTCAGAGGGGACCTTGTGAAGGAGAGAAGGAATGACCATAATGTCTCAAAGCTAAAAACATTCGACCACATTCAAACCTATTGGTTTTAAGCAGAAACCAACATCAGGCTTTGTAAGTTTAATTACAAAGGGCAGACTTTAAAAGATGTCTTTTTACAAAGAAACATTTTGCTCAACACTTAAAAATTTAAGTTTAATTGGGTCGATTCCACTTTCGAGGGTTGAGTGTGTGTGTGTGTGGGGGGGGGCGTGTAATGACATTTCATTTTACAACCTTTTTTTTTTTTTTTGCTTGAATTCATTATTTGTGTCATGAAAATAAACTTAACAAAAAAAAAATGTGGTGGAAAAGGTTCGGAGTCCTGTTGACTGTCTAGATAATACACGAACGTGTTACTTGCTTTTCTTGGTGTGCAATCCTTTTTAATTAGCTGTGGGTGGAGGGGGGCTGGCACTGTATCTTTCTTTATATTTTCCTCACCTAAGTACTGAAAATACACAAAAAGACCATGACTTCCATCCCCAAATAATGGTGATTCGCCTATGTCTGGCACTGCTTCCCGAGGCTCCCATCAGTGTCAGTCCTGGAGCAGGGCAGGGGAGCCGGGGCTCCTCCATTCGCCCCCTCCAAGGCGCCCAAACTTTGCCTCCCTCCCGGTTCCCTTTTGTGCCAGCTCAGCAGTCTCATTGAGGCGAGCCGCGGGCCCGCGGCGCCGTGGTAAACAAGTGCCTGGCTGTCAATCAAGAACTAGACTGGAGCAGGAGAGGACCGGCCTAAACCGGCGCTGAGCAGATCCCAGCCGGCTCGCCCGCGCGCGCCCGCGGCCCGCGCGCCCCGCTATACATACGGCATACGTCGCGCGGCGCTCGCGCCCGCGCAGCCTAGCCTGCTGGGCCGGGGGCGGGGCCACGGCGCGCCGCGCTTCCGCTTTCCACGCCCCAGCCGGTGACCGGTTCGATCTGGCTCGGGCCACCCTGACACCTTCGCTGTGAGAGCGAGGGGGAACTGGGGCGGCGGCGGGCGGGGAAGTGACGGCCCCGGGGAACAAAGGGCGAGGCCGAGCAGATGGCGGCGCTCTCCCCCTCCCCGCCCGTGCTGCCACTGTCACGTCCCCTCGGCTCACACAGGTACCGGCCCCAGGGCTACGCTCGCGCCCGGACCTCCAGCTCCCTCCCGGGGCGGCTTTCAAGCAAAGCCACGGCCAGGGCACCGGCACCTGCGGCCGCTGCAGCGGGCGATGGCTCGGGGCGGGGATGGGGGCTGGGGCGCCCGGCCTGGGGGACCTTTACCGGCGCACGCCGGTTCCAAGCCTCGCCCCAACCGGCGCGAGCCGGCTCGCCCCCACCCGTCCGGGCCCAAGCCAAAGCCAATCAAGGCCTGGCATCGCCTTAGCAACAGGCTAACAAACCCGGCTCCGCCTATCGCCGCGCGCCCGGGGCGGGCGCTCAGCTACCAGGCTAGTTTGAGAGCTGCCTGTTTGAAGTCATTGAAACTATTCCAGCCTGGGGAGCTCGTCCACGCGTAGCCAGGCTTACGGGCACCTAGCAGGGTGCAGGTAGTTCTCTAAACCGTGAAATCGTGGTGCAACGGATGCAGTGTCTGTTCCCATAGCTCGTTCTACTCTCCCCTACTACTCGTCTTAACTCCTCGAGGAAGAGCCTTTGTCTCTTCTCACTCATTTTATTAAAGGCTGCAACGTCCAAGCAGGTTCTAAAGCAAATCCATGTGTTCGCTGCTTTTTTTTTTTTTTTTAAAAACCAACACTGTCATTAGTTACTGTATGCCCTATCAGTGTGGACGCTGGGGAAGGTTAACTAAGGAACCATTTCAGGATGCAGAATACATCGCTGCAGCTGCGTAAATCCTAAGAAATGAATTCACCTTCATATTTTAAAAAAAAAAAAGGATACGTTAATTCTGTATTACTTAAAGCATCCTCAATTTCTTACTTGCTTTAGTTCAATTAACATCTCAGGATGTACGTTTTAGATATTTTTTTTTTACAAAATGAAAGTATGCTATCTGAAAATATCGCCAGTATTTGCAATAAAATACTGCATTATTAAGGAGAAACACAAATTACATAACCAGTTTTAACATTATATTCTTCTTGGACTAGGAATTAAGTCATCGCCACCACCTGACGCGTGTAACCAATCTGCTGAGAGCTGAACAAGCGCCCCTCCTCACCATCCCCCAGAACTGGTCCGAAACAGGATTGAACCGCTTCTAACAAAGGGTGGAAACTTAGAAAACAAGCTTGGAGTCGCCTATATTTCCACATTGTAACCACTTAAACAACAGATTGCGAATTTCAGGACCCCCTCTCGTTTTGACAACGGCTTTATCTTCGTCTTGTACCAAAAAACCAAATCCTATGTACCATATACTTTACATTTCCATCTGTCTGCCTTGGGTTTCATTGAATCCACGTTCCAAAGTTAGACATGATGCTCAAGAAGAAAATTGGTGACCCCGAATGCTTTTTAAATTGACTTAATATGTTTGCATAATGATAGATATTATCCTTTAAAAATAAATGATGCTTGATGTACATTTTAAAAGGAATTGGGAGAAATAGGGAAAAAACACGTGGGGTGTTGATGCCATATGTCAAAATAAGCCATGGAAGCCCTTTATCAAAGAACAATAATCAAGTGTTTAAAGTCTTTTGCATGTGGGTATTAAAATCAGGTACATCTAGCAACCTTCTAAAAAATGTCACTACTGTTCTTTATTGGAGCTCAGTTTTGGATCTAAGATTGTAAAATAAAGGAGAAAATCCAATACTGGACTGCAGCTTTAGCAAACAAATTTGAAAATATTAGTAAAATGACCGAGTCAGATTTAAATACACTTTATAAGGTGCAAAAGGATTCCAAGTGCGTATGGCAGATATGAAGCCAGTTATAGATGTAGTTAAGTGCAGTTTGCAGTCACTTTGCAGACGCCTGCATGCATTACAGTTTAACACGCTTACACGTCAAGGAGAAACTACATCTTCTAAGTTTGCTAACCTTTTATCAAACTGCCGTCTAGAACTGCTTGAAATGAGATTCAAGTTCTCATACAAAGAAGACGAATCTAGTGACTAATATAAAAACTTACCTCTTTCGTGCCCAATTAGGATGTCTTTCTGGCTGAAATATTCTACTTCATCAGTGTAATTCTGGGTATAGGCAGTATTGGAGCCGGCGTTTCTAGATTCAGTCCAGCGGACTTTCGCATGTCCTCTTGCATGAATTTTAAGAGATTTTACTCTGATTTCCCCTGTAACTTCTAAATTCACCCTTCCTGAGACAGTGTCCCCGCTAGAATACACGGGGACATTGCTGTCATTAAGACAGTCAAAGCTTATTGTCAAACTCTTCACCTTTCCCAGCACCATGATTATAACAAAAATCTATAAAAATATAATGTAAAACCAAAAAAAAAAAGTCAAGATCGCATATAAGATGTGATCTTCACTTAACACTGATCAGTGTCTTTGCCGTGCAAAAAAAAAAAAAAAAATCTTGCAGGCAGGATCAGTGATTGTCTACAAATAGTTCATTGAGATTTCTTAAAAAGTCAGGGCAGCAAGGAAGCTGCTGCTCCACGTTCCTGCTCCTCTCAGTGGTCTCCTTACAAAGACGGGCGGCTGGAGGCTGCCAGCTCACTTTAAGAGCAGCTTTGTGAAAAACAACCCCAGTGCGCAGGCGCACGCCGCGGCTGGCGGCCAGCCTCCCTGCGCGCTCCCTCCCGCGCGGTGCGCGCGCCCGGCTCGCTGCGCGCTCTCGCCCGGTACAGTAGGTGTGGGGCTGACGCTGCCGGCTTCTGTGCACGGGCGGCAGGGATTGGCAGGCGAGCATACCACCACCCCCTGCCCTGCACGCGCTCCGCCAGCCGGGTTGAGGGGCCCGGCAGCGCCAGGCCAGGAGAGTTTGCACCAGGACCGCGGCCCGGGAGGAGGATGTGGGAGCCTTGGGGTGAAGGGGAGAAACCGGTTGGGCAAGCGGCTGGTAGCCCAGTCTAAGCTAATGAATTTCAAAAGAAAACGTAATAAAAAGCAGACAAATATTGTTCATAGAAGAAAGCATTGTTGACTTGGATAGAAACAACAAAAGCAAGCAGCCCTTGTAGGCAGGGTGGCAATGGACTAAGCCAGGGCCCGAGGAACCGTAAAACAATGCTCCAGGGAAGCCCTTGTCTTCTGGGGCCTTCCCAGACTCCTACAGAGTCAAAAGCTGTAGTTGTTGTCTGTGTGTGTAGGCCTGACCACTTCCTCGAAGGGAGGAAAAGTCCTTTCTCAAGACACCACCTACAGCTCCATTTGCAGGGAATGACGCAATTACAACTCCTGTATGCACAGGAGTAAGAATAGAGTTCACACCCCAAATTACCACCCCATAAGAGTCAGTTTGAACACAGTGATTTAGCTGACATTGTTTACAACAGACTGAAACTTAGCTAGGGAAACATATGCAGTGGTTTTGTTTTTTAAGTATGATTTGTTACATAAGTGAGGCTTAATTTTGTGAAGCTTTACTTTTAATTCAACATGCTAATTCCAATGCTACCTCTCAAAGACAGGTACATTTTCCCTCTGTGAATGCTTTGATTAAAACAGGCAGTGAGTTCTAAACTTCACCAGCATTCAGAGGGTGATGGAATAAACTGAGATTATTAACTAACAAAACTTCTTAGGACTATGCAAAATAAAAAAAAAATCTGTATTATGCATGACCAAAAAAGTGAGGGAGTGTGCCCATAGCTAAACACCTTAGACTCTTCTGCATGGTAAACCTGGATAGTTTGAATTACACAAATTAAACACATCCATCCTGTTGTTTTCTTTATTTAAGAAAAAAGCCTACAATTTTATTGTATTTTAGTTGAGAAGGCATCTAGAACTAAAAAGTACAGACTGTAACCATGTCAAGAATAATTAGTGGGCAAGCCATTTATCTGGAGTTTTAGCTTGTGCATAAAATTACGAATGTGTGTGTTAAGTGGGGAAAAAAAGGTCAACTTTCTTCTTCTCTCTGTTGACACCTGGTGGATGATACAGGTAAAGTACCCGGCCCTTTGGTTAACTGTCGGTAACGAATACTACTGGTGTTTTTCTCCCCCTAGTGGTCATAGCTAAAATGTCAAGTTTTGATCTGTGTAAGCTTGAGGCATTCAAATAAGATAGGTCAGGGAGTGGAATTAAAAGTGGACACAACGAGTACATAGGTAATTTTAAAAGATTTTATTTACTTATTGGTATGTATGTTTGCAGAAGAGCGTGCGATGTGTATGCAGTTACCTGTGAAAGACGACAGATGGGGTGGCCTGGGATTCCCTGGAAGGATAGTTGTTAACCTGGCAATATCGGTGCTACTAACTGAGCTCACTCAGGTCATATGGAAGAGCTGCAAACACTAACTGTTATGTCAGCTCTCCAGCCCTCAGTCCATACAGTCTTCATCAAACTGAAGGATAGTGGGTGACTGAGGTTTTGGTAAAATCTCTCCAGGTTGAATATGATACGTTTCTGAAAAATGAAAAATCAATATTTAAGTACACGAGAATTGCATTTGATGGGAAAGGACCCTGGTAGTATTTGTAGTTTGCAAAGTTTCTAAGTTCATTCTTTGATCTGATTCTCCTAAGATCTTTTGCTTCACTGTAGTTACTTTGCTCTTTTTCTAATGTGACTTCTCAAACACTTTAGTAATGGGCAAATTGCCTTCCATTCTTTTTTAGCCTTGTTGCCCTTTCCACTTTAGACTTTGTAGCACACTATTCCTCAAATGTCTAAAGAAATACACTTGACTCATTTTGTCTTCCCTTCCTGTTTATTCAAACCACAAAAAAAAAAAAAAAAAAAAAAACCAAAAACAAAAACCGAGAAACAAAACAAGTCTGGGGATGTCTAAATACTTGTTTATATTTTCATTTCTAAAAGAGACCAAATTATTTTGATTGTTATTTCCCCTGATTTTAATAACCTTCCATTTGTAGACTCAAAATGTCTCCTCTCTAGGCCTGTGGAGGTGCTGGACTGTGGCATGCTATCTTGGGCTTCTCTGCTTCTTCACTGGGCCTGGGTTGTGTTTTGCTTTAGATTTCAGCTGTTCATCTTCACATCACAGCAACTGCTTGCAACCCAGCCTACATCTCATATGCTTCCTCCTCCTACTTATCTGCTAATTCTCTACTCCTGTCAAGCACATCTCCTCCCCCTCTGTTGGCTTGGCTTGTGGGCAATATGTAGTTTTATCGAATTCTTGCGCACCTCTCTCTGAACCATCTCCTTCCCTCTTCTAGTCCCTGCAGTTGCTTCACTTGGAAGAGTGTTGCATAGTCACAGTCACCCTTGCACAGTTTCTCCCGGACCTAAAGTAACAATCTCTTTTCATTATAGTTATTCCAAAGATTTATGAATTGAAGTTCTCTGTTGGCATATAAAAATTTGAATTCCAATCTTGAGAATTGTCCAAACCTGGATATGAGAAAAAGTACTGTTATATCTGAGAATGTTTTTAGATTTTATGTCACTGTGCTCATAGAAATATACGAAATAGGCAATTTTAACTGAAATTCTTGGTGTGAGAACAACCATACTACTAGGACAAGTTGTTTCTTAAAGAAAAAATTTGCAAGCCGAGGGTAATCTTAGCCTTTGGCAGGTGCGTGTTGACAGAGCTAAGGTTTTGTCTTCTTTGGTGTTGATTCTGGATTTTAAGTGTATGTCTCAGATTTAATCCTTTAACATCACAAGAATTGGCCAAATTCATATGGAGACCACAAGAAAAATTTTTAATGATATTAGCAAAGTGAGAGTTACTTCATATATTTGAGTTAATTATTGTGGATGCTGTGGTAATTTTTCAGTTGTGTTTTCCTCCATTAAAAGCTAGGGTAGTTTGTGTTATCAGAATGCCATTTAACTTGTTCCTTTGATTTCTTCTCTGAAACAAATGTACCCACAATTCTGCTCTGCATGGAGCTTCCACTCCTCACACCCCAGGAAAGTTCTATCTGTAAACATTTGCCTCCTAAGCTGAGGGGAGACAGCAGAGGGGAGGATCTGAGGGGAGGCAGCCAGCACATAGGTGTTGAGTCTGCAAAGTTTATTCCGGGGCTCCAGTGTCATCCGGTTTGGAAACTCTTCATTTCTTTTCTGAACAGTTTTGCCTCGTTCATTCCTTCCCCCCTTTTCTTTTGTTTGTTTGTTTGCTGTTTTTGAGAAAGATTCACACTATAGCTCAGACTGTCCTCAGAGTCAAGATCCCCCTGCTTGCATCTCAGGAGAGGCAGGATTTCCAGCAACAGGCCATGACTATCTTGAGACTTTTCACCTGGTACAACATACTCAGGAGGAGGAGGAAAAAAAAAAATCATACAGTCTTGGGGATACTGAAATTTAAAGACAAAAGTTCATAGTTTTGTTTTGTGTAGCAAATTCACATTTTGCAGACTGATAATTTGTATAAAGGGAGTCACCCTTCCAGTCACCTACATTGTCTCTGTTGATAACCAGTTTATTTTAAATGAGTTAATAAGCCAGGCACGGTTGAACAATGCCTATAATCCCAGATTTGGGGAGGTAGAGGCAGACAGATCAGGAATTCAAGGCCAATCTTGGGTAGCTAAATTCCTAAAAAAACAAACAAACAAAAAAACAAAAAAAACAACAAAAAAAAAAACCTATGGCCACACCTTCTCCTATGCTTACAACTAGTTTTCCTTACATTTCCTGCAGTTGAGCATTTGTAAAAGGAGATTACCACTTACCCCGAAATCACTTCAGTTTTCATGTTGCTCTTGTTCCTGTCTGGGGAGAGTTCTGCTCGAATAGCTATGATTAAAAACAAACAAGAAGCTACCTACCTGGCAAAAGCTGGAAGGTGAAGCAATTTATGTTTCAAGGTTGGGTGAGGATGTGCTTTTTTGAGAATTCTAAGTTTTTCAAGTGACCTTTTATTTCAAGGTCAGGAAACAGATGGTCACTCAAGTTGTGAAAGACCATGTTTCACCTATTGCCTAGTGAATTCTCATGCATAATTGGCACTTGGGTTTATACTTATTAGGTTTTTTTGTAATATAAACCTTTTTAATTCCTGTGTCAATTGTGTAAACCAGCATACGACACTGGAGAGAAGCTACAGCAGAAATTCCTCCTCGGGATTAGCCTGACTTCCTTACAGCCATGTGTGTACTTTAATCAGACAGACTTTTAATGCTTTATCATTTTGGACTTTGAAACACATATGTGGGCTATCTACTTATCTGGGGGACACACCCCCTAAAAAAACAAAAACAAACAAACAAACAAACAAACAAAAAACAAAGAATGATTCTTCCCCCTTTAGCAGCTGTCAACTGCCATTAGCTCCCCAGGATGAGATGGGAGTGCAAACTCCTGTCCCATCCTTGCTGGAATTCTAGCTGGCTTGGTCTTGTGCAGGTAGCATACAGCTGGTGTGAGTTGATGAGTGTGATAGCCATGTCGTGTCCAGGAGCCAGCGCTGCCCTATGTTTCCACCTTCCTTTGGCTCTACAAACATTTGAAGAGTGCTATCTTTAAACAAATTTTTCTAGTAAGACTGTAGAATTTTATGGGAAGATTTTTTTTTTTTTTTTTTTTTTTAGCTAACCACAAAGAACAACAGGAGACTGATAA